TGGTCATTTTGATTCAGTATGTTGTCTCTTCCTTCTTGTTAACTTCCCGTCACCCCACCAACTGTTACATAAAATGCATGTTTCCCTCTTAGGCGAATCGGCAGTCTTTGTGTGTTTTGTTGGAAGAGGTGACTCTTTGGTGTATCCCAAAACTCAGGCTGGGGTTTATTGCCTACGTCATACTCAGCTGTCATGTGTTCCTGCGTGGCTCTTGTCTCCGGTCATTCCTAAGACTTTCCCCATATGACTTCTAGACAGTCTGGCCCCCTGGGAAAGGTATGGGTGGTCAGGTACAACCATTAGCGAATGGGAACACGGTGCTGAGGGGCAGGCCTGCTGCAGTCAACCTCAGCAGGCCTTTGTGGGAGTGACGCCGGGCTCAGAGCCAATACTGGACAGTGCCTCAGCCACGGCGTTTGGGTGGAAAACCCCAAAATGCAGACTCCGTTTCAATCTCAAGTTGTATTAATGTTTTGGTTAAAAATTTTTAAAAAGAAACCTTTGAAGAAGCTTTTTTTTTTCTTTTTAAGGCATTTTGCTTCTCCGTCCCCACTTCTCACCTACCTCAGGCACATGGGCCTCCCCTTCTGGTACATGCTTTCAGCAGTGTCTTGACAATGGCATGCAGCTGGGATACAGTGCAGCATGTGCACCTCGCATTTCCCCCAAGAAACGAAGCTGTGTGTGACCATGAACCGGACGGGCACACTCGTAGCTGCTCTGGTCAGCATAGCCCAGACCTGCAAACAACCCAGCTGTGTCCTCCAGCGGGTGATGCTTAAGCCCACTGGTCCACCCTGCCCGGGACACAATGAAAAGAAACCAGCCACTATGCCCACGGCAACTTGGATGACTCTGTAGGGCAGTGGTTCTCAAACTTCCTAATGCCACGACCCTTTCATACAGTTCATCATGTGGTGGTGACCCCCAACCATAAAATTATTTTCGTTGCTACTTCATAACTGCAGTTTTGCTACTGTTATGAATCAGGCAACCCCTGTG